TCAACCCTCTGATAAGTCATATTTAAAGATTCCGATTTGAAATAGAATAGAATTCAGCTATAGCTATTATTTGGGTATATTGAACTTGTGCTTTAGTTATCAAAATAGTATATAGCGTCATTTTCTAAATCAGAAATACGACAATAGAGCGGATGTGTTCATATTAATAGCATTTTTACATTTCAATCTCATTGGAGACCGAACTGAATGCTACAAAATGGCACATATCTGAAGTTTATCTATATGCCTTTGTTATTTCTTAATTAAGATATTGGTCATAATGACTTATTTTGAGCTCATGTCGCTATGTCCTAATTTGAGTTCTAAAGGACAGATTATATAACGATGTCTTTAAATACATCATCTTAATTGATGTTTCAATTGGATTTTTAAACATGTAGTTTGGGGGTTGAAATCAAGGCTAACAATACCATTTTTAAGCTCAATGTAATATTTATTTAGCAAACACACTGACCCTTATATAAGGCATACCACAGTTTGGACCATGTTCATTCGATTATTCCTCATGATTTTTACATATCCATGTATGTCTATCACGTCTGCCGTCTTCCCTGCTTCCAACAAGGCGTCCAGTGCAATCAAGGTTCCTGTTCTTCCTATTCCTGCACTGAACAAAATATGAAACTTATTCAGAGATGATATGATTAAAGGATGATAACGGTATACAAATATTGTAAAAATGTGATATTTTACTGGATTGTTTGTCATGAAGTATGATATTTCCCAGAATTGTTCAATAATAGTCACTGACTGTAGTGTTACCAGTGTGACAGTAGTTTAAATGTTGTAAATAACTTGGATTTGTCAAACACATGTTTGTAAACACAAGGTCTATTCAAACGGTTTTTACTCTGATTAAAGTGTTTTCCAGTGTTCAATATGGTTATTATTCAGATGTAAATACCTTTATTATCTTGGTTAATCGTTAGTCCAGTGTAAGAACCGTTTGGAGAGAGCGAGAAAGGTAATGTTTTGCAGGGAGCGTGACCGCTGCGAGTGTGTGTGAATGTCGCCATTTTGTGAACTCTCGTGACCTTCCGAACTGTGTCAGTCGGGGTCACTTGCATGTTTATTCCGTTGTATATTGGAAATATTGGATATATATTGGATTCGATGGAAATATTGGATGCGTTGGAAGTATTGGATTGCGAGTCAGAGAGTGAATAACGGTACAAAAGAGTTGTAGATATGAATACTATGAAATACTATATATTAATGTTGATTTGTGAAGTATTTTTCATACAAGTGTCAATGTAGATCAACGTATTTTTTGGGGGTTCAACGAGTACTACGTTGCGAGCAACGGGTGTGGCGCCGTTACCTCTTCGGAGTCCGCTGGGGAACGGGTGTTGCCCCGTTGAGCTCGTGCGTTGCCCCGTTGATGTTAGCGTTCTTACTAGAAGTGTAGGGATTCCTTGGGGCGTTGGGAAATCAGTTGCGATCGGATATTCTTAGGGAAAGGTTGGTTTATGCGCTGCTGGCAGCTACTACATCTTTGGATCGTTCCAAAACCGTTTAATTGTCCGTATTTTTAGTTTATAGGTTAAGGGAAGTAACTCGTAGATTAGGATAAGGGAATGGACGGGGGATTTTAGTAATATTTACATTTATGGAAGATAATTTAACTTTGTCATTTTAGCGTACTTTTGGTGGTAGGTTTGGTGTTTCAGACAGTAGAGTTTGACCTTAATCATCCATAGAGCCTAGAGACCAGAATGACTCTAGATCTGTATTCTATCCATTTGCTAATCCTAGATTCCTACTAAATGTATATTTCATATAGTTGGTTTGTTATAGTATTCATTGCACATTGCAATTCCTATTGATATTCATTGGCACTTGGTTCATTTATGTTATTATCTAAACTACAGTAGGGATAAATAGACTTGTTTTGTCCCCTACATATATCAGATAGTTCTGGTATTCAGGGTTCAGACATAGTGTTACCTTTATTGTACATCATATTTATGAGAGAGTTTGGAGAGAGTCTATAGAATTGTTGTATCTGTTTCTGTGTAATTTGATATTGGGTTCCTTAATAAACGGTAACCGTAAAGGTGTACGTAAACTTACCTTATGCTTTCAAGTTCTTATTTAGTTACTAAGATCTAGTCAGTAATTAGGTACTTGGTTTGGAAATACCATGTAATTTCCTGGGGGCTTGTCATAATCATTTAGTGACAGTTTAGAATAGTCGTGCTCTCTTTATGAAGGGTTGAGCCAGGGGTGAAGACCGTTAAAATATAACAGTTGTACACTATATGAGCAGATGCATTTCTCTCGCCACTTTCGATAAACAATTAACATTTACAGTTGTCAATGAATGGATTTTATCTTTGCATTTAAATAAAGTATGCTGCATTTGGATGTTGAGGAGTGCGATGAAATGTTAATATTAAATATTGTCATCTGGTAATTATGCACAAAAGACTACACGACAAAACATAATACTTTGTTATTTTATACCTGCAATGGACAACCAGCGGTCCATCCACTTTGGTCCGTAAACGCTGCAAATGTCGGTGAAACAAGACAAGTTCAAACACATCTGGTATGTCGTGGTCAGGCCATTTTGTGTAGTGAAACTGGTATATTTGTCGCTCTTTGCGTTCCTGTGATATACAACAACAAAAATCATTGCTGATAATGCTACTCTTGACTTTTCGTCATTTCATTCATTTTCAAGTAAATTTGTATTTTTTAAAAAAAGGTATCGGCATGCTTAATAATTTCTCTGAATACGAACATGAATATGACAAATTTTAAAAATTCGAATCGATTTTTCTGAATATAACAGCTATAGAGACCACGGAACCAAATCAAAAATAGATTGTGGGTTTTTCCCTTTTGGGCAGAAGATTTAATAGAAAGGTGAATGCCTCGGGGCCTGCTGGTTGGATAATAAGGTGGCAGAAGTTTCAAAAGTTTTATGTGTGGGTTGAGCAATATATATAGATTTAATATGTATAAAAAAGATTTAAAAAAATCAATTCTGGTTTTGTCTGGGTGAGTTTATTAAGTGTGTAATTTGCTGTATAAATTTTGTTCGATTTTTAGTGCCGAATTCAATACAAGATGGCAGCCCCCATATAAAAAAAGTTCAAATTGGCAGAATTTTGAAATATTTTTTTTACAGTTGTGTGAGATGCTATTCTTCAAAATGAGGTCAGGTAAACCAGTGTGGATAACCCCATTTAACCAGGACAGGGGTAAACGTTAACACTATCGTCTATGGAAAATCATTTGGTTCCGCGGTCCCTATAGGATATGACGTTTTACACCATTCAAGCGTCCCTGGAAACCAGATGATGGGACCAACCAGCATATTTCTGGTTGTGAATCTAATCATGGATGTGTTTAGCCAGAATTTAGAGGGAAAATTAGCTGCAGGAGGATATTATGATGGAAATATACACCCATATAGAGCGTGGNGCCCCATATAAAAAATTTCAAATTGGCAGAATTTTGAAATATTTTTTTTACAGTTGTGTGAGATGCTATTCTTCAAAATGAGGTCAGGTAAACCAGTGTGGATAACCCCATTTAACCAGGACAGGGGTAAACGTTAACACTATCGTCTATGGAAAATCATTTGGTTCCACGGTCCCTATAGATGTAATTGCTTTACTTAAAAACAATTATTTTACAAACGATGTGAGTTAAATTGGAAGAAATTACAGATACATCCTTTCATGCAGCATAAAACCTTAGCCTATTGTCATATTTGTGAAGTATGCATGCCGACGAACACCGAGAGAATAGTTTTTGAAACTGTCGCGAAAAAGTTGTATTTGACTTTATTCGATTGACAGATGTGCGTCGCTATCTGGTAGTCGTTGACGAGGGGGATTTAGGCAATCTTGTTATTGAAAAGGACAATAAAAAAATTGCAGATAAGTTGAAATCATCATGGAACTATTAACAAAGTCTATATGGACGAACCATTGAAAGAGAATAGATAAAATAGAAATATCGGCCTCGGCAAAGCTATTCAGAATACTTTTATTATCAGTATAATACAAAATAGTGCGGACCATGGATGTATTGTACTTAAGAATTTCTAGTGTACAAAGGGTTGATTCCACGGCTTTTTGGCTGAAAGTGCGTTAGACCCTTGGCTTTAACTTTTTCCCCGTGTTTCCCCTCGGAAGATAGCTCCTTCCTCACGACTGGCACACTTGCTATCACCCTGATAGCCAGATGTATATTATCACATTTATAAAGTTAACTTGGGAATGATACGATATATTTGTTAACTTGGTATCTATAAAGCCATCTAGTTAACTTGACAGAACTATGAATGTTTTACTCACGTGTCTATGTTTCAGCGTAATCACCCTTATGACGTAGAAAGCGTACTGTTTTTCAGAGTTCAGGTTGATGACAAATGTCGCCGTGGTGATCGGGTCGTCCATATTAGGCCAATATTTGTAGCATTTGTTCTGATTAAAGGATATTAAGATTAAACACTTGGTTATATATACTGTTTTATTGTTTCAGATACAATATTATAAAAAAAAAAATAAAAAAAAAATCTTTCATGTTATAATTTTTAAAATAAAGATTAAAATTTGATAATAACATGTTTCAACGTTTTAAAAAAGAATCAACACTAAAATTGCCATATACATGATGAAGTGGACTATGAAGACACATTTAAAAACAAAAATCGAATTTGGTTTGCGACTACATTTTAGTCCATTTACAAATATGTATCTACACAATAAAAGCTAGCTTAACATGTAGTTTTCTTGCTTTTACCGAGTAGGTGATATTCAATTTTAAGACAGGTTTTAAGAGAAAAAATACTACTTGCGTGGGTCATTTTTTTTGTCAAAATTCATGTTTTTTCCAATTTTTTTTGGCGTTTTGTTGATGTGGTAACCATGGTTTTCACAAGTCCCTAATC